TTCTTTCTTTCTTTCTTTCTTTTTTCTCTCTCCCCCCTGCAAGAGAAAGAAGCAGGGGAGTCCCCTACAGCCCAGCCCTACCCGAAATCCCCACGGAAAGGGCGGGAGGTGCCCGCCTGCGCCTGCCAGCGGCCCCGCAGCGTGCTCAGGACCTTGCCCTCCAGGCTCTCCAGCTCTGGGAAGCCCAACTGGTTGAGGACCTCGTAGATGCCAGCCACCGCGGCCACCTAAAGAACAGAGGGACAAGAGAGATTTTAAACCCCCGCTCCATCATCTTCTTGGGTGAAGGTGCACCAGGAAAGCCCCCAGCATCTCCCTGCATCCAAGTACCCACCCGCAGCCCCCCCCAGCTTTCCTTCAGCCACAGTTTATACATTTCATAAGCAGCTTCCACGCTGCTGGGGTCAGGCGGCGCAGGGTTTGTTGGCTTTGGCACCCTTCCGCCAAAAAGCTACAATGGCACCTTGTTTTTGCTAAAAACGCAGGGATTATGTGGTGGGAATGGGGGCTTTGGGGGTCAAAGGCTCCTTGTATCCACAGTTTGGGTGTATTTCCCCCTCTCCAGCAAAGCCTGAGGATGGGGTGGATATAAATCCATGAAGTTAACAGGGCTGCATTTTAACATCTCCCTCACACACAGACATCCATATTCCATTTTTTGAGCTGGCTCCCAATTCTCTGGGATACCCAGCAGCAGCATCCCCATCCTCCCAGGCTCTCCATCCCCTGGTGCCACCCACCCCAGCCAGGCAAGGCAAAGCAGGACTGCTTTTAATTATTCTTTCCTTTCACTCCCCCAACCCTTTTGGCTGGGATATTATATTTTAAATCTGCTGCAAAAAGACCAGAGGTGGGTGCAAGGAGAGCCAGCCAAGCTCACTGAGCCAGGCAGAGGGCCCCAGGATGTGGTTGGCTGGTGGCCTTCCAGCCCCAGATGCTGCCATCACAACTAGCAGATCAAAACAAAATCCTGGGAAACTCTAAAGAGAAGAAAAAGGCAGGATTGCTTAGGCAGGGAGAGCCTCACCTCACGCATCCAGAGGCTGAAGGGCCGCTGCCAGGAGTCCTTCTTCTCCAGATGTAGGTAGGCGTTGAAGAGGATCAGGTAGATGTAGCGTTCCAAGTACTGCAGGCTCCTCAGCTGCAGCATCTGCCTCTCCTTCTCATCCTTGCCTGACTTCCCCTGGAAGGAACAAGAAACTGGATGAGATGCCTGCAGTACCTGCTTAGGGAGAGCATCTGAGAGGCAGTGCCCACACCCCGTCCTTATCTGCGGCCCTGCTCTCCATCCCACGTGAGATGTTTGGTGGTGAGGGACCCACAAGGACCTCTTGCACTAGAAAAAGAACAAACACACACTGTCCCTCTGAACCCGTTATGCCCCTGAGGAGCTCAGCCCTGCCTCACATCTGACCAAGGAGGGAGGACCACTCTGGGGACAAAAATAAAAGCATCCTTCTAGCCCGTTCCTGCCGTGGCTTGGCAATCCAAGCTCTCATTACCTTGTGGTTTCCAGCATATAAAAACTGCCCCTTTACCATGCAGACCTCAAAAATAGATGAGAGATCGCTGAACACGTGGGGTGTGTGCCCAAGGAGCCAAGAATAGATGCCCAGGTGCAAACTCTAGCCAAAACCATGAGCTCCTGGACTGCAAAGCACTTCCCCAGGGAAAACACAATCATACAGGTTGGAAAAGACCTCTAAGATCACCAAGTCCAACCCTCATCCAACACTACCATAACCATTAAACCATGTGCCCAAGTGTCATATGCCCTCTTCCAGCAGCCTCTGGTCAGAGAGGTCACGGCAGCCACCCAGATCGGCCACCACACCTCCTATTATTATTTTAATTTCTATATTTATATTTCTAATATAAGTAACTAGAATGCATATAGAACATATGTTCTATATAATACATAATTACTTTTAGACTTTTTTTTTTTAATTGTAGCTGTTATTTTAAGAACAGATGAGCACTGAAGTGATGCCCCTTCCATGAAATAAAAAAAGAAATCATAATCAAGGAATAAACAGCCAGCCTAAAAACCCTAATCCCACTGCAAATCCCCCAGACCATCCCAAAGAGCAGCAATTCCTCACTCTGGTATCAGCATCAACCCAGCCTCAGGAACACCCTCAGTATTTACAGAGACCAGATTCTATTATCCTATTATTTATCATTTTATTCCAGCATCCTAATATTTATCTTTTTATTCTATTTATTTTATTCTACTATTTATCATTTTCTTACAGTCTCCTATTTAAGTTTATTGTATTATCCTGCTATCCATCATTTATTCACCTATTATTTATCTTTCATCTTATTATTTCCTTATAGTTTCCTATTTTTTCCTCCCAGTTACGTGTGGGAACAAACCTAAGCAAGTACCAGAGCACCTCTTCCTTCCCTCTTGCTTGCTCTGCAGCAGAGGACACACTACAGTAGGTGAGACTGCCCACTAGCCATGTGGCCACCTCCCCATAATGCATAAAACTGGGGGAAAATAAAATTATTTAATCACAAATAACTTCACAGTAGCTACTGCTGCCCCACAGGGCTCAGGTTTTCTCTCCCAGTCCCAGAAAAAAACAAGAGGCAAATGCCCAGGGAGTCATGGATGTTATTGGGTCATTAAATGGGTTTTCTTCCACTGGTCAATTGTTCATGGCTCTTAATTGAGAACAGGGGTCGATGGCAGCTGCAGGCGAGACCATCACTGGTGTGGATGTGGGTCAAGCCAGCACAGGCAGGAACAATGCTGAGGTCCAAGCTTAGCCCTTCCAAGGTCCCAAGAAATAATTGCATAGATTGAAAAAAAAAACCAAAACGTAATAAAAATTGTCCTTTCTCCCCTTCATCAGCTCTCCAGAAGCTCCCACATAAAGCCAGGCTGTTGTCCACAGGCTTGGCTGGCTGCGGGCACAGATGGGTCCCCTCCCAAGGTGGGTCCCTTGCCAAGTTCAGAGGAGCTGGAAGCAGAGTGGGATGGACCAGCCCTGCCCTCTGCCGGCTGCACACCACTGGACGGGTGGGATGCAGGATGGCACTGGCCAGGCAGGATGCAGGAGGACACCAGATGGGCAGGATGCTGAGTGGGAGCTGGGATGCTTGGGTGGGATGTATCTCACATCCCACTGGACAGGCAGGATGCTGGGTGGGGCACGGGACGGCACCAAACGGGTGGTATGCAAGATGGTTCTGGGTGACCATGACCAAAAGAGCCCTGGCACCTCTCTGGTGACATGCCAGAAAGCTTTAGCCCAAGAAATCATGGAACTTCAGCAGAGCTGGTGGTCCTGGAGGCCAGCTGCACCCTCTGGGATGGGGTGCTACAGCCCCAGGCAGCCCCATGCCCTTGGGGGAAGAGGATCCACTCACCTGCCGGTAGGTGCAGATGATAATTTCTCGGAGATGGTAGTGCATGGGTGTCATGGTCTCACTGACAGTGTCCAGGGCCATGTCCACCTCCTTCTTCATCCGGTGACCATCGGGCAGGAGCTGGACCACCTTCATAACCACCTGGAGCATGGGCAGAAGCAGCAGGGCCTTCACCAAGTGCCTCCTTGCCTCAAGCCCCACTAGTCCATCCCTAGCCAGGAGAGGAACCAGCAGCTGTGGCTAAGGTAGCAAGGACCAGGTTCAGTGGGGGACCCCTGAAACCCACAGGGTCGGGCCCGTGGACTCACCTCGAACTCCCCTTTGGTGTACTTGGCATCAGGCACACTCACTATTTCCTCCTCGCTCATCTCAGGGATGCCCTGGGACAGTCAGAGAGGACCACACAGGTAGGGGCTGCACTGCCCACCCCTGCTGCCCAACAGCTGGGCAGAAATGCAGACCCCAAACCCAACCCACCAGGACCCCAGGCATCCTCCACCACCCCTCTGTGTGGCCAGAGAAGCCCAAAATTTTACCCCCACCATCCACTCTGCAAGGATGGAGCCACATCTCTCCTGCCCTTAACTCTTCATGCTGGGGTGGGAGTAGGAGCTCTTGGAAACAGGGTAAAGGCTCACCAGAGATGCACCCACACTTCTCCTGAAGCTTTGTGGGTGCTAGACATGGCAAGAGGCCAACAAACAGGTGGCCATAGCCCACCACGGTCCTCCCCATGCTTCATTTAGCTCTCTCATTATGCTCTGGCTGCCGCAGGCTGTGCTGACCTTCCTCAGAGCCCGGGCTCCAGCACGACCCCCAGGCAGAGCTGCAGCCCCCAGTACTCACGTTGAAGTGCCAGAGGGTGAGGACAGCGATGACCATGGCCGTGGTGGTCCTGCCCCGGCCGCTGGAGCAGTTGAAGACGAAGGCTGCCCGCGAGTCTTCGGCCAGGGCGCTCTTCATCGCCTCCAGCAGCCGGTCCAAGTCCTGCCAGGGGCAAAGCTGGGGAGGTTATGGGTGCAACATGCCACAGGTCAGCTAAGGCTGCCCACCTCCCTTCCCCACCATGGGATCCTCCTTGTCCTGCAGCTTCCAGGTGAGAATCCTGGCTCCTTGCTGCTGGATCCAGCCCAGCAGCCTTCCCTTCCATCCCTGGCTGGCTGAAGGCACCCAGGGTCTCCATGCAGCTTCTCCCAGGGGACCCTGCCTGCCCAGCAAGCACCCTGCACTGAGCCTGGGCACACCACCATACTCCAGGAGCTGGGTGGCACCGAGCACCCAAGTGACATTGGAGGGATGGTTTGGGAAGGAGGCAGCAGCACCATTCCATCCCCAGGGTACCTGCTCCTTGGGAGCACAGAAGTCAGGGATGGGAATGCGGCGGTAGGTCAGCCCCTGACAGGAATTCTTCTGCTGGCTGAATATCTCCTGTGTGGTCAGGCAGCTTTTGAACATCTTCATCTGCTTCTCTGTCTCCAAGTACACCTCCAACCACTTCTGGCACTTGAGCAGGTCACCCTTCAGGGTAGTCTCTAGTTTCTGCAGAGGATGAAGAAACCCTCCCTGTAAGACCCGCTCCTAATTTTTCCAGGATCTAATTTAATTATTTTTTTTTAAGATACAGGCTGACATCCCTCTCAAACACCCTGAAGCCAGCTGAAAGCCCCACACCAGGTCCTGGCCACTGCTTCTGCCCAGAACGAAAATCTCCACTGTGCTTGACGGGAGCCAAAGGAGCACCATCTCCCACCACTCTGGGCAAATCCTCTATGTGGTCACGTTGCTGTTGGCAGCCAAGGTCCTCCACCACCTATCTCCTCTGGAAACCCAGCTGGGAACATCTGCTCTCATTCCCCAGGCACCTTTCCCCTTACTCTCAAGCCATGCTGTAAATTCTCCAGGGGAGGATCTCCACTTTGCTCTGCCTTTGCAAACTCTTACAGAGGGATGGCAAAGTTAGGAGGACTCCTTGATTTTTTGCAATGCAATAAAGAGTCTGTGGACTGCCTGGTTTTGTATCAGCTGGGTTGTCCCCAGCCTCCAGACAAAAGAGTATATGAGCCAAGCAGAGAGACCCAACACGACTGCTGCCCCTCATTGTCAAAAGAAACAAAAAAACCAAAACAAGCATCTCCAGAAGATGAGTGACTCTCAAAGCTACATCACCCATGAAGGCTTCTGGGAGATCAGCCCTTCCAGGGCAGGCAGGAGCTCACCTCCAGCTGCTGGGGTGAGGCAGTGGGCACAGGGATCAGCTCCTCCAGGTGCCCAGGCTCCCGCAGCGTATAGATCTGCTCGTTCCCCTCTAGGACCACTTCTTCTCGGAGGTTGATCCACGTGATGTGGGCATGCTTCCTCTTGGCGTCCGTCAAGTACCGCAGGACACTCCCCAGGGTCTAGGGGAAGGGGATGGCAAGAGTGACAGGTGGGCTGGAAGCCCATTGCGGGCAACTCTGCCCGCTGTGGGGCACGTGCCCCTCACCTTGGAGCTGGGCTGTGCCGTCCCGTAGATGGGCATCTTGGGCACCCGTCGAAAGTTGGCCACGTTCATCTCCTTGGCGGTGCTCAGCACGTCCGGGCAGAAGCGTTCGTCTGCTACCTGCAGAGGAGCAAAGCCTGGCCAAGGGGTGCACCTCCCAGCCTCTCACCTGCCCCCTCCCACCCACGGGTTTGCAGGGAGGGTTCCCAGCACATCACCTCCTCTCAGCCACGGTCCCTGCCCAGAAGTCCCCAAACCCTTCCAACACCAGCAACCCAGGGCTCAAAGCCACATGGCTGCATTTCAAAGGTGGGAGATGCTCTTCTTGCAGCAAGACCGTGCCAAAGCAGCAGGAAGCCACCAACAGCTCTGGCCTTCTTCACCCCACCACTGCCAAGGACCACCAAGAAACAATGAAGCTACAGCCAGGCCAGCAGCTTTGGCTTGTGTCACTGGAATGCTCCAGCAGCCTGGGTCTGTGGGGGTGGACAGTGTGCTCAGCAGGTCTCTGGCCATGTAGAATCATAGAATGGTTTGGGTTGGAAGGGATCTTTCAAGGTCACTTAGTCCAACCCCCCTGCAGTGAGCAGGGACATCTGCAACTAGAAGAGGTTGCTCAGAGCCCCATCCAACCTTATCTGGAATAGGTTCCAGGGGTGAGGCCTTGACAACCTCTCTGGGCAACCTGGGCCATGGTCTCAACACCCTCAGTGTCAAAAACATCCTCCTCCTCCCTAGTCTAAATCTCCCTCTTTTAGTTTAAAAACATCACCCCTTGTCCTGTCACAAGAGGCCTTGATAAAAATACTGTCCCCATGTTTCTTATGTGCCCCCGTAATGCCCATTATAGACCTTCACATGCCCATCCTTGCTGAGGAGGCCAGCAGGACATGGACATGAGACAACACAGATCTGGAGACCCTGAGACTCAGCATCTGCCCTACAACAGGGAACCCTCTCACTTCTCCCACTCCACCAAACTTCTTTAAGGGCGAGCATCCCAGGGAGGTGGCATTTATCATAGAAAAATAGAATGTTTGGGTTGGAAAGAACCTCCAAAGGTCTTCTAGTCCGACTCCCCTAGACCTTCACATGCCCATCCTTGCTGAGGAGGCCAGCAGGACATGGACATGAGACAACACAGATCTGGAGACCCTGAGACT